CGGGAAGTGGCATGATCAAATTTCCAAATCAGAATGATTTAGATTGCATAAATTATTTTCATTCAATGCATATGTGTTGAGGGTTTATTTTGTTTCAAGGACCTTTCTCAGTGCTACAGGTACAGCAAGAAACAAAAAGCCTCGGGAAGTTTACAACCTAGTGGAGAAGACTAGACAATAAACAATCAAATAAAAATACAATGCAATTTCAAGCAGTTGTAAATGTTTTGAAAGTAAATAAAGGAGGGTAAAGGAGTTGAAAGTCATGAGGTGTGTTTAAAATAGAGTTAGGAAAGCTCTATTAAGAAAGTTACATTTGAGCAGAGGTATCAGTGAAATGAAAAGTGGGGAGACACATCCAGAGAGTTCCAGGTAGACGGACAAGGATGAACACATGCAATGGTTGTGACACTGAAAACAGCTTTGGATGCTTGAAGAAAGTCAAGGCAGCCAAAGTGACTGGAGTTGAGTGAATGATGGGGAAGAGTGATATGTAGTAAGGATGGTGAGGTGGGCAAGGGTAGATGAAGGTGGGTTGTAAACTGGAGTTGAGTTTTATTCTAAGTGTAATGAGAAGTCACTAGAGAATGCAAACTAGGGAAGCAATGGTATCTGATTTACTTTCAACAGTATCTGACTGACTCTGATGGATGTATGAGAAATAGACTGTAGCAGGACAGGAAAGGAACCAGTATAAACATTTAGGAGACTATTACAGTAGAGCAGGCAGAACAAGACGGCAAAACCTGGAGTCCATAGTGGAGGTGGTGGGATATGGAATTGGTAAAACACACATGACTTCCTAATGCACTGGATGTGAGGTATGAGGGGAAGAGGAATCTTAGATGATTCCTAAAATTTAGCCTAAGAAATTAATCAGTGGTGGTGCCATTTCCTAAAATAGGAAAGATTGTGAGAGGGGTGGTAAGGAACTGAATTGTGCCCTACCCCTAAAATTCCTGTACTGAAGCTCTAACCTCTAATGTGACTATATTTTGAGAGAGGGCCTTTAAGGAGGTAATTAAGGTTAAATGAGATCATAAGAGTGGGTCTGTAATTCAATATGACTGATTCCTTATAAGAAGGGATAGACACCAGAGATGTGTGTGTGCAAAGAAAAGGCCATGTGAGGACATAGTGAGAAGGTATCCAAGGAGAGAGATACCAGGAGAAACTACTGCTTGATCTTGGACTTCCAGCCTCCAGAACTGTGAGAGGACAAAATTCTGCTGTTTAAGTTTCCCAGACTTATTTTGTTATGGCAACCCTAGCAAACAAAACAGGAGTGAAGAGATAGTTTTAAAAAAATGAGGAGTATCCTCTTTGACATGTTGAGTTTGAAATACCCGTTAGGCTTCCAAGCAAAGACTGAATAGACAGGTGTACATATAATTCTGAGGCTCAGGAAAGATGTTGAGGCTGGAGACATAATGGAAAGTCACCATTTGTTATAGGGGAAACACATATTCCCCAGTCTTTATGTTTGTATAGGAAACCTCCATCAATGTTACAATTGTGACTTCTCAAGAGTGACTCTTGCTAGGGGAGGAGAATTGTCATAACTGATTGGTCAGCTTGGGAGAAAGAACTCAGTATTAATGGTTCATTTGTTTTCTTGTGTCTGGAAAGGCATATCTGCCTTCAGAGAATATACATTTTTTAATCCTCCATGCTGTGAGTTTTTCACACACCAATCGGCACTGGAGGAGGCCTGTGGCTGCCCAAATGTTCCTGTGTTTGTGTGGGTTAGTAGGTGTCTCAATCATATTTTCCAATATAAATGTTTTAAAAATAAGTAATAAGGGTAACATATTTATCTCTTATCTTTGATTCCTATCTCTATCTTGCAATTGATTTTAATGTCATGGTTGACTAGATGAAGTCACCTGTTCAGTAGTTATTGATAGAGAACTATCTGCCTGATAAAGTGATAGTCAGAAATAGTTCCTGGCACATAGTAAGTAACGGTAAGCTACTCTTCATAGACAGGAAGAGTTAGATATGGGAATGAAGCTAGTTAAATGGACTGAGCTGGAAGTATAGCAATATTGAGAAATGAAAGCCTGTAAGAGTATATGAGTAACTAGTTGGGAAACTGGAGAATGTGTCTTTATGTGTATGCATGCATGTGAATGCACCAGCACTGTAGCTGTTGCCGTAGTGGAAGGGCAGTTAAACATACAAAGCTTTAATGATGACTACTAAGAAAATAATGTTTGTATCATGGTAATATAAAAGATGTTGAATTTCTCGTCTCAGTTAGGATTTGGAGCTTTATCAGTTATCAATTTCTCCATAACAAATCCTGATTTAAAACACAATAATTTATCTTGTCCTAAATTGCTATGCCTTAGCAATTTGGGCTGGGCTCAGCCAGTTTGTTCTTTTACTGGTCTTGCCTGTAGCCACTTATCTGGCTGCAGTCATCTGGCAGCTTAACTGAGGCTGGATGGTCTCACTCACATGGCTGCAGGTTGGCTCTCCTTGTTGACCAGGTGTGGTCTCTCATTCTCATAGAGGCTAGCCCAGGCTTCCTATCTCACAGCAATGACAGCCTGAAAGCAGAAGCTGAAAGGCCTTTTGCTGCTGAGACTCTGAAGTCATATGATGTCCCTTCTGCAGCCTTCTGTTGGTTTTAGGCAAGTCACAGGGCCAAATTAAACGGAAAAAGAAATAGACTGTATATCTTGATGGGAAAGGGTGACAAAGTTACATAGCAAAAACATGTGCATAAGAATCACAAGAATTGTTGTAGCCATCTTTGTAAACTGCTGAACAGTAGTCTCATGGCACATTTCTTATGTTGTTACTATATACTCACCAAATAGAATCTCAAATGTATGAAAACCTTCCTACCACCAACTATACCCAGAATAAGAATTATACATGTTATGCAATGTGTGTGTTAAAGGTAGGAATAAGTAAAGGTGCAAGCTGGTACGGAGTTTGCACTTTGATGTGGTATTAACTGTGGCCAACTCTCCCTTGATGAGAATATAGGTAGCTGGCCAAGTGGAACAAGTGCTTTTTGTTCAGGATGTTTCTTCTCCTCACTTCCACTAAGTCTACTTGATTCATATTATCTTCAAATCCCAGCAAGGGTGTATGAAGATAGAGGCCATGCAGTAGGTTCTATCCAAGAATCCAAAAGCCACATTTTCCTTGGTGTAGAAGTCAAAGATGACCCTGTTCTGTGATGGGCCACGAAATCGTGCAGAGACCTTAGGAAGATTGCTTCTCGACATTTTTAAAGCAAAACTTTACTTGATTAGCTAGGGCCTCTGATTTTCAACTCTGTTTTCCTTTCAGAATTTGAATTCAAGAAAAAGAATATCTTAACAGGTACATTGAAGCACAGCTCAGGTGTCAGACTGTCTGATCATACACTTAATGGCTTTGTGACTATGGAAAAGATAATTAAACTTCCCATGACTCAGTTTCCTCAAGTACAAACTGATGACAACAATAGTATCTACTTCATGCAGTTGTTGTAATAATTAAATCAGTTAATACCTGTAAAGCTATTGAAATAATGCTGAACATACAGTTAGCATTCAAAATGTCTTAGCTATTATTACTGTTGTTGTTTTATTGCTGTTGATTTTTATATACCACACAAGGCATGATGAAAAATTATAGAAATATAGACAAATATTTCCATTTTTTAAATGCTTGTAGTTACATTGGAAAACAAACTATGTATGCATAATATATTTAAGGAGTAGTTAAAAGACCATATTTGAGAAAAACAAATACTTAGACTAATAACTCACATGATTGCTGAGGATGATCAGCATGGGGAAAGATGATCAATAAAGGGATGTGTCACTTAGAAGGAGAATTTTGGTAGAGACATCGAAGAAATGGTACATGATGGGAGAATGGCCAATGTGCACAACTGCATTCAATTACCCTGCCTCCCGGTCCCCCATGCTCAAATGTGTATATGGGGAAGTGGTATATGCTTTTCTATTACTCAGACTTGATTCTTTGAAACACTGCCACCCTACCTTTTAGACGGTGTGTGTCAAAAGTACAGTTACTTGTCCCTTTAACATAATACCAGTTAACTCATACTGGGTTGCTGATTTTGTTTTCTCTTCAATAGGTTAGTTTTCCACAACACTATCAATTTCTTTTTAAAGGAATATGAGAGCTGATTCAAAGAAAATGCTGTTAGCTCTTCTTGGTAAGAGCAAGGCATTTCTTAACCTTTGAACATGCTTTTTGCTTCACTCACTCTGCCCAGATTCCCTTCTCTGATGGAAGTATGTGCATAAGTCTACAATTGCATTTCTTTGCATGTCTGAAATTTTATGTGGCAGTTTTGCCAATAACTCCAAATTCTTAGCTTAATCCACCTTAGAGGTTGTAAACATTTATTTCCACTTGTAGTCCAGTGACAAAGAACTTTTGGCCCTTCTCTCTCAAGATTTTAATGTGTTGGTGTGTTTGCATGTATGTTTTAATATTTTGGTGTACAAGAAACCCAAATGGTTTCCTGTGCTGTCGATGTCAAACTGATACCTGTGTTCTCCATTTTAATCCACACTGAACACTATACAAATTGTCTTACTAAAGAACAGGCATGATTATACACTTCCCTTTCAAATACTCTTGATGGCTGCCTATGGCATGTGACATGTGACATTCAACATGTCACATGCCATGATTCATGTGTCATGCTTCATATGTCATAATTCAAGATATGATTTATCATGTTTTGATTCTGCATGCTGTAGGCAACATGTGACAAGCAACATTCAGGGCCCTTCACAACCTTTTCCTAGTCCAGCTTTCCAGGCATCCTTCACCCTTTTCAAATCTTGTGTGAGTTCTTAGACCTCGGTTGCTTTGATTACACAAACACCTCTCAGTAGAATGACTTTTCCTCTTTTCTTTTGGGCCATCTTCTGAAGACCCTTCAAAGACTTTCCCAACTGGCCCCTCCAGTTCTAAATAATTGTTCTCCTTCTGGGCTCTCATAGCTTTTGACTTACCCCTCCAGCTGGCTGTTAGCAGTTGCTGAGCTTCTAGCCTGTAACAAAAGCCATAGTTAATTTAGAAATATTGAGATAGCGGGCATCACAGACTATGACTGCCTTCTGGATCAATGGAAGATTCTAAACAGTAAATTTTAAAGCCTCCAATTTGTTCAGTCCACCCACACATTTGCTGTTCTTGGGGACTCTAGATATCTCAGAATTTTATTAGAGTTTACTTAGAAATCTGAGAGGACATTGTGAGTGTACATGTTGAAATTAGAGGCACCTACTCTAGTGTGGGTGCCCCTCTGGTGTCTAGGGTTCGAGGTACACTATCTCCTTCAGACCTCACCAAGGTTGGCGTCATCATATGCACTTCACAGGGAAGGAAACTCAGATTCTGAAAGCCAGACGCTGTGCTCCAGAGGCACGTGGGAGGCAGGGAAGCAGAGTGGCTATTAGCATGGATATCTGCAGCCCAGCTGCCTGGGTTTGAATTCTGGCTCAGCTCTTTAGTAACTTGTATCCATTGCAAAACTTTTCTGTGCCTCAGATTCCTTTGCTATAAAATATGATGGTGGTATCTTCAATAAGTTGATACATGCAAGGCACTTGCAACAGAGCCTGAAACGTAGTAAGCACATGTAACGTGTTAGCGATTATCATCATTGTCATCATTATTAACTTTAATGAGCACAGAACTAAAGAGTAAATGAGTCAGAATTTAGATCCAGATCTGCTTGGCTGCAAAGGTTTCCATTTTTACATGTCAGATTACCTCTTGCTGTGTCCATTTGCCTCGAGATTATAGAGTGAATAGTCCTCTTCAACTTTTTTCTCCGAGACCCAAACCCTTAATCAAATTATTTTAGTTTAAAATGTATGATCAGTACTTCCCTCACACTTTATGGGTACTTCAATTCTTGAAGGCTCCACAAGAATTAGTATGAGAGAGTTCAAATTCTGCTTCCATTCAAAGGCATGGTAAAAACCATGGATCCTCTTAGAAAACTTGCTCTGGGATGGTTCACTGTGCTTGTAACATTATTGGGGTTTGCCTAATGGTGTTCGGACCTTCTACACAAAGTCAGGTGGTTAGAAAAGACTCAAACCAGCCTGAGCATGCCTGTTAATACAGCACATACAGCCACTCTATCTTCTGTCCCTCATTGAGGGGTGAAGGAAGGTTTTGCAAAGTTGTAGGAGTATTTCTTCCTCTCCACCCCACCTTCCTCCTTCCTCTGTTCCTCAGAAAGGCATGGGCCCCACATTGCTCAGGAAGAGCACAGCAGAGGTGAGAGACAGATAAGAAAGGTGTTATGTCTGGCATGACTGGTTTAGGCTTAAGTTTGGGCACCCTAAATAGCCATGTAGGGTGAAGGTTTTCTATACGCTGGCTGCTGGCTGTAGCTCGCTGTGACTGCATTCATAGGCTACTTTAATTAAGCAAGAGGCTTAGCTTGTGCGATGAGTTCCCTGAGGGTATCATGCTTTTAATTTAGTTAAATTCAATTAAATCCATCTAATTCATTGTGTGCCTCAAGCTACAACAGACTAGGTTCTGTGGATATAAATTCGTATAAGACAAGATCAGCAACGTCCAAAAGTTCTAAGTCTTGTTCAGGAGACCAAAAATAAATAAATAAATACATAACTCTAACCCATGTGGTAAGTTCTATGGTAGAAGAATCCATAGAGAACTGTGAGCCCAGGCAAGCAGGAGAAATGGCCCAGATGACTGGCTTGGGCGGGTGGTGGTTTGAGGTACCAGTCAGAGGAAAGCTATCTCTGGATAAGAAATAGAAAATTATCACAAGGGGAGATGAACACATCAAGCAAAAGGCAGGGAATGAGCTAAAGCTTACAGATGTGAAAACACCTGGCTTATTCAACTGAATAATCTAAAATAGTAGCTTGGACGTACTCCAAATGTTTTATAAGATTACAATAGCCATATGAACCAGTTATTTCCATTTCATAGACGATTAAACTAACTTTTCCAGTGATATGGCCAGTTCATGACTAGGTTTGAACAAGACAAGCTACCTCCAAAGAAAGATATAATGACTAGCCATTAAATGTAACCATTATTCTCTATGCCACTTCTCTAGATTGAGCCTTCTTAACTAGGGTTAGCCATCAGAGTCATCTGGAAGATTTCTAGAAATGTAAAGATTATATTATATTCCCCAGAGAGGGATTTAGTGCCTTCCCTTGGTAAACGGCTCCACCAAAAATGGTAAATGGCTCATTATTCAAAACTGAACCCTGAGAGTAATTCCTGGCACCTCTTCTTTCTTTATCTTCTACATCCAGTTTATCTCCAAATTTTCTCAATTCTCCACCAAAAATTCACGTCCAATCCTTTCACTAGTTCTCATCTCAGCTTCCAGGCCTCAAATCCAAGCCTCCGCAAACCAAATGATCTCACACCTTCCCTTCTAACCCCCTTCTAATCCTTTCTCCAAATCACCACTACAGTGATGGGATCATACTCTGGCTCAAAGTCTTCCCATGGCCTCCAGTTGCCCTTGGAATTCAATCCAAACCTTCACCATGGTTTACAAGGCTCTGTGCAGTTAAGCCCATGCCTATTTACAGGTTTACTGCATACCACCCTTCCTCTTGTCCTGCCATATGGATGTTCTTTCGCTTCCTCCAATATGACAAGCTCTTTTCCACCTCAGGGTCTTCCTACCTGCTGCTGTTCCTTCTGTGTGAATGACAGTTTCCATTTGGCTCTTTCTCAGGTCTCAGACCTTCCCTGATCCTCTTTGACAAAAGGTCCCTTCTGTCATTCGCTTGTAGGGCACTTTGTTCTTTTCTTTCATATCAAAACTTGTTACACTCATATGTGGTTACTTATAGCGATCCATGGCCCCAACACAAGCTTGAAAGTTCCATGAGGATAGGGATTATGCCTGCTGCATTCACCATGGCATTCCTTATGCCTAACCCAGGGCATGGCCCAGGGCAGAGCCACAATACATTTCTAAATGATTAAGCGATAGACAGAGTGGCTACAAAACTGCATGAGAACAGAAAAGAGGCGATTGGATTTAGCAAGAAGGTCATATTTGTTCAGCTGATTTCACTTAAATGGTGGAGAAAAAAGCAAATACAGTGAACTGTGAAGTTGAATGAGAAAGCAAAGAGGAAATTAAGTTATTCTCATGTGAAGGAAATGATCATAGTTACTAAGTGCCAGACTCTGAACCTGGCACCTGACATTCATTATTTCATCACTGCAGCAACCATATGAAGGATGTTCTGTAATCTCCATGTTTGGAATGAAGTAAAGAATCTCAGAGAGGTTGAGTAATGTGCCCAATGTCACATACCTCGAACATAGTGACACCAGGACCAGGCCCAACTTCAGAGTCCATGCTCGTAACCACAGAGTCAATGGCTCTTGAGTGTACAGGGGAATCATGGTGGTGGGTGACTTATTAAAACCACTACCATCAAGCAACTGTAATTAAATAGGTCTGGGTGTGGGCCTGGAAATCATTGGTTTTAACAAGTGATTGGTTTTGAGTGATTCTGAGGCAGAGAGCCCAGGAGTCCCACTGTGCGAAGCATCACTCCATAGTGTGCATCACAAGAGAGGAAATCTGAGGTCTCCTGTAGCTTCTGATCTAAGCCTTGGAGACTCCATGACTCCATTTTGTCTATATAATTGATAAAAATGTTTTCTCACAAGTCTATGATAACTAAATGCATAATTTATAGAGTTAATATACAGTAGGTACACAATAAATGTTGGTTTCTTTCCCCTCTCCTAGACTTCTCTTTCAAGAACTTTTACTAGATTAGGAATGAGCGAGATAGACAATAATTTGAAGTTCTGTCAATTTCTGGGAAAGGTTATTTTTATTTTATTTAATTATTTATTTTTTCCTATCTCTAGTTTTCAGATAGGAAAATGGAGGCACTAAACAGTGAAGTAACTTGTCCTCGGGTCACAGCTAGTAAGTGGCAGCCCTCTTAACCTCCATGCTACGCTGGTGGGTAAGTTAGATTTGGAAACACATCTGTAGTCAACACTTGTTGAATTGAATTTCAAACTTGGCTGATCTTTCTATTGCTTTGTTCTTACGACCTTTTCTTTCCCCTTTATTTGTTGACTTTGGTTTTTGACTCTTCTTTAAGATATGTCCTTTTATTTTTACTATAAACATCAAGTCTTTTTGGGAGACTACATAGTATTAAAATCAAATAAATGTAGTCAATATTTGAGGTAGTCAATAGTTAAGGAAAAATTGCACTGTTTGGGATACTTGGAAATGGGAAATCTCTAGCAGAAGCTTCAAGAACTTTAGAGGCTTCAAAGTAGCACATATGAGGTGATGAGAAGGTGAAACCTCTGCCAGAGGGGTGAGATTGCTTGCTTCTGACACCTTATCTCACCCTGGGTGAAAAGATCAGCAAGTGTCCTGGGATCTTGTCTTGGTCCTTCCCTTTCAAACCTTACATGTACTCTACCCTTTAGGGGTGGCTTGTTTGCAGCTTTCCTCTGCCTATGTCTTTATCATGGAGAAGCATGTGACCCCACATCCCTCCTTCTGTGGCCTTACTTTTAGAATGTGAACACATAATCCAGCCCTGAGTTGAAGCCCCTGCCTGCATTGTCAGCTAAAAGCTTTGTGTCCATCTGGCTTGCCTTAGATAAGACCTCTTACTGAGGTTTTTGATTGGTATTGATTGGTATTTTGAGCCCTTTCTTCTTCTCCAGGTGCTTTTGCTCTGCCCTGGGCCATGCCCTGGGCTAGGAAAATGCTTTTCTCAAAAATTGTGTTTGTTCTAACATGTTTTATATTCATTCGATCTTGGTTCCTGGGTTTTTAGTTGCCCTTTATCTCAAAATCTGTTTGTATAGTACATTAGAAATGTGCATTGCTCTTTTCACCAAGAATTACAATTAATCTGACCATCTGAAAATAGACTCCACTCTATTTTCCAAATTTACATTAATGTAATGTATTAGGGTTCTCCAAAGAAATAGGGGGTGTGTGTGTGTGTGTGTATAGTACATTTATTTTAAGGAACTGGT